AAGGACTCACAGTATAGGGTGCCCAATCATCTCATTTTTCCTGGCACTGAAGGGTTTCCCAGGATGAGGGACTTCTAGTAATAAAACAGGGGAAGACCAGGAAAAACTAAATTGTAACCAGGTAAAGAGCTTTCTTTTTCACCTATGAAGGGTTTTAACATTACCTTTTCTTTACTACCAAAAATCCTTCTAAAATTTCCAAATAACTATGGAATAGATCATTGCTCTATGAGATGTAAGTGCAAACAAAAGGAGCAACATAGAACTAATATAATCCTTACTCCTGTGAACTGTATAATGAAGAAGAGAGGGAAAAGATCAGCTACTTCTCTGGCAGGATCATAGTGTGAGAAGAAATAAAAGAACTGGGTTCAAATCCTAGCTCAGCCACAATGTGGGGCAAGTGATTTAATTCTAACCTTCAGTTTTTTTATTCTCCAAAGTCAATCTTGTACATCTTGAAAGTGAGTGCAGATATACCCACCACACAGAGCTGTTACGAGCCTGTGAGATGTGTATGAGAGAGTAGAACACAGAGCCAAAGAACCACAGGTAAGAAACAGTTGCCAAGCAGAGGCACCAAGGTGGAGACAGCTGTCCCCTCCCCAAGGCCCTCTCTCTCCCCGCCTCTCACTGCCTGTGGAGAAGCTGCCTCATAAAGCTAATCATTCAATGAAGAAGGCAAGAGCAAACATGCATACTTCTGGGAACACAGGATAACTTGATAAATGATGACTTTCAGTGCAGATCCATATCAAACCCAGAAACTGCTGGAGCAAAAACTCCATTGGAGGAGTCTGGGTCTCAAAAAGATTGATAGGAATCTTACCATTTGGACCTGGGAAGAGAACAAGCTTGTTGTAAAGAAGTGATCAGTAACCATTGCCTTTATTCATTGTCTCCTGATGGCCGGGAGGGCAGATGAAGTCACCCTGATGTCTGCAGCTTGGTGGGCAGAGATGCCCAGGAGAATATCTGTCCTCAAACCTGTAAGCAGCTGTAGGGAGCTTCTGATAAGCTGCTGGCTTTGGTTAAAATTACCTAGCTACCTGGCAGGGTGGGTGGAGACTGACAAGGAGAAGACTTTTAAGTACACCTGTCTTTTTCCCTCCTCTTTGTACTAAGATAGTTACCCATCTCTAGGAAAGAGTAACCAGAATTTTGATTCCATTAGCTTAGTAAAAATTTACAAAGTTTGGATAACAAAATTGCCTCTGTCATGTGCTATGGTGGTGTACCACTCAGGTACACTGAGGTGGTGAAGACCCTGAGTGTGAGAGTAAACCATTGCAATTTAAGATGCAAACTTGTCCACCCAAAGCCCTGTCGTGCTTGTGTGGCACAAATATAACCCCAGAGAGCACAGTGGAAATGTTTGCACCATGATGAATTAAGCTTTCCAAATAAACCGGATTTTTTTGGTAGGGATTATTTTCTGCTAGGAGGACGGAACCTGTGGGGTAAACAATTTGGGCTGAGGAGGAGTTGGGTATTGGGGTGATTTCTGTTTAAAAAGCCCAAAGAGAAGCCACATCTCCCTGCTTATGTAGGATGCCAGAGCCAGGGAGATCATATTCTGTGTGCATCCCTTCCCAACTTTGCATTCAGTGACTTGAAATCATCCACTCTGGAAGTATTAACATCAGAGAAATTGACATATGCTGCAAATCAGAATTTTTTTTTGGAGATCAACCATTTACCAGCACAACCCTGTCCTGCCTTTAGGCTCAATCACCCCAAATCACAATCCAAGTCCAATCCCCCGGATAACCTTACAACCAATCTGACAATGTCACCCTCTGATTCAGTTTTTTAAAGATAAATTCCCTGCTCCTTCCAACTTTTCGATCACTTCTTCTATCTGAACCCCCTAAACGCTGCTCAAACTCCAGCCATCCTGAATAAGATTTAAAAAATAGACAACATCAGTACCCACCTCTGGCCTAGGTTGTTTAGGATCAGCCTTCCTGCTGTGATGGCTAGACAAAATGAATTTTTAAAAGATCTGAAGGTATCAAAAAAAAGTCAAGGGTTGGAAGAGTTGCAAAAGGTCCAGGAAGGTGGAGTTTGGCATTGGGATTCTTTACCTCTGGGAGTATTTGCTGGTTTCAAAGACTGTAGCTGAGCTCTGGACAGGCTGATGGCACTTGGGGGTGGGATAGGATCAAATTTGTACTGTATATGCTGCTGAGGGGGAGATATCAGTATAAACACCCTGGGTTGGGGCTGAATTTGTACTTTATATTCTGCTGAGGTAGAGATACCACTATTAACACCCTGGTTTGGGGCTGGGACCGTGGATGATTAACATTGAACCTGAACTGCTTACTGAGCCCGGGTCTGGGTCATCTCAGTCCCAGTTTGGGGGACTGGGCTGGGCTGTAGTGCTCTCAGCCCCTCTGCCCAGCAGAAGCAAAAGTGAATTGTTTCTGGATAAATAACATTATAAGAGCCGGGGGTGAGTTCTACAATTTTTGCTAGACAGTGTACAGCAGTCAGTACAAAGTAGTCAGGCTTAAGTATATGTGTGGGGGGCAACCAGGACAAGAGCAGACAATAGACAGACCCAGTGGGCTTCAATAATGGCATCATCGAGGGCAGCCTTTATAAGGAATATGAATGATATGTTCAAGGATTTAAAAGACAAGACGGGCTCTGTGATGATCTGTCTACTTCACCTGAAGTGAAGAAGTGGATGCAATAGTTGTTTATCATCAAGAGGTTTCCTATGTGCCAAGGTCAGAGCTAAGTACATCGTGTGCAGTATCTCAGTCCTCATAGCCACCCATGACGAGGCTTCTATTCTTAGCCCATCTTACAGGTAATGAAACCGAGCAGAGCTTCAGCACATTGCGTGACATGGTACAGCTCGTAAATAACAGAGGATTCAGTCCCGAGTCAGTCTTACTTCACAGCAGGACCCCGGGGAATCACTCAGCTGTGAGGTCTGTGGGGACACTTCTTAGGACTTTGTACACCTGGGAAAGGTGGGGAGCCCAGCGCTTCTGCTCTCCACGAGAAATCTGTCACTATGAATTTGGGTTGGGACAGAGAAATTTGCCCAGGACCACAGTGTGAGTGTGTCTTTGGCTTAAACACAGTCTGAGGGTGGAAGTCAGGACAGACCCCTCTGTCTCTCTTACGCAAGTATCTTCATTCTCCAGAGACATCTTCTGAGGGTGTTGATTTAACCATTAAGGAGGACTTTAGAAGTAGCATAAGAGACAGTAGGAAAGAGCTTATCACAATGGGGTGCACACTGCCCTCACTTTCAGCAGCTATGAATTATCACCTGATGACTCATAAATATCTCAGAATTTATAAACCTTAATTTAGCAAATACTGGTTTAGCAAATTCTTGGCAAATAACCAAGAATATTCTTAACTCCTTTAGTGAGTCCTCAATAAAAACAAACAAAATGCCCCCTTGGCCCTTCCCAAGGTAGATATTATTTCTAATAATATAGGTGTTTCAGAGAGGGTAAAAATCTCTCTCAAGGTCACACAGCTTGTGAGAAGGCAACAGGAATACCTATGTGCCGTTTTGCTCCTGGAAGCAAACACCCAGGAGAGTGATACAATTTTTTTTGCGGCAATGTTCCATTTGCTCTGAATGTGGAGCTCCTTTGATTTGAAAGTTTGTTGGTAACTTTCCTCTTTGAAGGATTTTATTCTCATTTGGACACAGAACCTGCTTTGTTTTCTGAAAATAAAGTCACACTCATTAGAATCAACGGCTGCAGCAGGATGTCCCCTGGGCTGGGACTCAGATCTGGATTTCTGGGTGCACCTTTGCCATTAACAAACTGTGTGATCTCGGACAGGTCCTTCCCCTTCTGGATCTTTCAAAGTCTTTTTCAAAAGAATGATGTAGTAGGATAGGGTGATCGAGGAGCTCCCATCCGGTTGTGAAGTGCTACAAACTATGCTGCTGTATGAGCGTTATATATGCTACTGCGTAGACAGTGGAGACGCGCTCTTCATCTTCTTTCTATGCTTAAAGGGGAGTGTGCTTGCCTTTTCCTCAACTGTCTAGAACGTAGTAAGGAAGGAGGCTAATGTTCATTAATGCTCATTGTGGGGCCAGAACACTTTTGTTCCCTCTTTTGAGAGGAAGACATATCAACCTCATTCTGAGCTTGAGGAGACAGAGGCAGAAACTCATATAAGTGAAGTGACTTCAAGGTCGCATAGGTGGCAACTGGTAGAGGAGGATCGTGGGCCCATTTCTGTCCAAGTGCTGAGTTTACCCCACTTTCCTGAGACCATGCCTTTTCAGATGTGGACAGACCGTTAGAGGTGGTTTTGAAGCACCTCTTAGGAAATACTCACTTAAGAGCAGGCGTCAGCAAGTTTCAGGCCCCATGCAGCCACTATGTGTTTTTGTCAAGAAAACTGTGCTGGAACACAGTGATGAGCGCTCCGTGACGGTCACGGGTCGTCTGTGACCGCTTAGAAGCCACACCAGGGGACTTAAGTAATCACGACAGAGACCAGATGACCTACAAACCCCAAAATATTTACTATCTAGTGCTTTACACACTGTTTACAAGTCCTGGTGCAGAGTCCAACAAGGCTGTCCTTCCATCAAAGAACACAAGGTGACATGAGACTGTCCCCAGTGCTGGGAGCCCTACCTCTTGTCTTTATTAGGACTGGGGGACATTTCTGATCAAATCTGTCTTTGGAAAGGCAACTGTGTTAGGGTACCTGCCTGTTAGGCAGATGAAAGTTTGGTTTTCATCGTGTTCTTCCCAGGAACTCAGTGAAGGGGAAATAGAATCTCAATTTTGGGGAAATTACACAGGGGAAAAGGGGAGGTAATAAGTTACAACACCCCATTGCGACATTCAGCGAGGCTGAAAGTGACAACAGCAGTTTCTCTTTTTGGTAATGTGGGGCATTTCCGTTTTTATCTTGGGGAAGGGCGGCCAATGCAGATTTGGTAAGGGACTATTTTCTTTATAAGTCACTCTTCGGGGCCCGAAATGGCAGTCTCCGTCACCTTGCTGAGGCCCCAGGATGGAAATCCACAGGTGCCCTGGCAGCTACCTAATCCCTCTTCTTCTTTTCCTGTTCCACTCAGAGACAGCCTGCCGCCCCTCCAGGAAGAGACCCTGCAAGATGCAAGCTTTCAGGTAAGGCGGATCCCAAGCAGCTGGGGGTGGCTGGGGAGCGGAGCTACTTCCCGTTGTCATCTGGTGCTGCCGCTCTGCAGATTTGGGCTGGAAAGGGATGGCCACCGTTCAGTTAAGGGACTGTCATATGCGTAGTCTTCAGGGCTTATATTTCAAAACATCCCAGAGTTCCAAAACTTGGTGAAGAGCTTGACTGACTTCGGCAGCTCAGCAAGTGACAAGTCACCTGCCAAGTAGCTGTACTGGGACCTGGGCCTGGCTGAATGCTGGGCAAAGAAGCAGAGAGGGGCGCCCCCCGTGGGCAGGATACAACCCAAAGTCCCAGACTGGTGGTTAAGAATGCCTGTCTATGAAAAAAAAAAAAAAAAAAAAAAAAAAAAGAATGCTTGTCTATATTGGCCCATTGGAGGATCTCACTCCCTGAGGCTTCTGCTATCGTCCGGGGCGTTGTGAATTGTATAACAGAGTTCTGTCAAGTGCCCGTAAACTATTGTGATTTTTAAAAGTTGGACCAGGAGGTTTATGAGAGTTCACCATCACTGTTGTAACAATGACAGTGTAATGTGAAAACAGTGCTGTCTATGTGTTCCCTCTGTCCTGTGAGATTCTAGGACTGTTGGGGTAGCTTCAGAGTCTCTCCAGCCTGAGGCTGCATGCAGGTTGGGACTCTGCGTGCTTGACTGCGTGCTTACCTAGTGTGTGTATGTGCGTGTGTATTTACATTCACCCTGGGCAAGTCCTTGCCTTTCCCTGAATTGGGAACTGTCTACTTCATTCACTCAGGAACACAGGATAATCACAAAAGGTCAATTGCTCACTGGTGCAAACAACTTCAGTTTACTTGACCACCCCTCTGAGTGCATGAAGTCACCAAAGTCACCTGATGTGGTGGGTGTCCTTAGTCACACTGCACTGGTGAGGAAGTGAGGCGCCAGGCTAAGGTCATGCAGGTGGTCAGCAGGTCGTGAAGGGCCTATGTCCTGGCTGGAGGTATACTTACCACGTCTCAAAGCTTTGAGCTCTGCTTTCAGCCTGAGGGTTCCCTCACCAAGAAGAAAAGACTGGGGGCCAGAAATAGGCCACTGGGTGATGGAAGAAAGCTCTGGGGCAGACCTCGACAGTCTAAGGTTCTGAGTCAGCTACACGGCCCTCTGTCTTTGAAACTTCCAGCACTGTTTGTGGGGCCACTGGTTTCAGATGACTTTTTAAATTTCCATTTACTAATAAAAACAGAATGCAATTAAAATACAGATCCTCAATGTATGACATTTCAGAGTTCGATAACAATATATGGCTGGGAGCTAGCATATCGGAAGTGCAGATATAGAATATTTTTGTATCCTGGAGAGCCCACTGCCTGGTGCTACTCTAGAACATGCTTTGCTGAAGTAGAAGGTGCCTGTCCTGGGAATATGAGGATGAGAAACGAGGAGAGGAAAGGGGTAGAAGGGGGTTCATACAACCAGCTGTGGTGGGAATTGGGCCTGTCTCTTACCTGATGTTGACCTCCATCTCCTCATCCATGCCATGGATGTTATAGAACACCACACTCCTGGCAGAAAGCTGGATGCAGATTCAGCAAACTCTCAGGGACATAGCAAGGGACAGATCATAGGGCTGGGCACACAGCTCCCTAAAGTGGTGTCCTTCTGCTTTACAGAATCTGGGATGTCAACCAGAAGACCTTCTACCTGAGGAATAACCAACTAGTCGCTGGATACTTGCAAGGCCCAAATTCTGAGCTGGAAGGTGAGTGGTGGCCAGGAAACTGATGCTGTGGGCACCAGGTAACCTTGCCCTGAGCACTGCAGCACAGGGGCCTGCCCTGGAAACCTGGCAATGCTTTAATCCTCATTGGTCTTTGGAGCTGAGTTTGAAGCTGAGGAGGCCTGGCCTCAGGGGGGTGAGAGGGAAGAGCTTAGGTCAGGAGTTACCTTCCACAGATACAGTGGTCCCAGGGCCACACCTGGAGGGGGATGGCTCAAGGGCAGTTCTACCCCTTCTAACCTCTTAATTAACCCCTTTGTTCCTGCATTGTTCAAATGCTAACTCTCATTCAAAATGAATGAGAATATGGAAGACTGTTAGGGGCCATATTCATCAATATCACATTCAGTCATGTTCTGGAACATGCTCTAACAGGCTGGATGGGCATGCTTAGCCCACTGCATTCCTCAGTTTCCCCTTTAGTAAGATGAGGTCAGGTGGATGATACGATGTGAGATTTTTTTTTCAGCACTTGCCTTCAAGGATATTTCCATGTCCCGTGGCTAGCTGGGTCCTGGGAGTGGCATTATCTCCATCTCCCTGCCTTTCCCCACCCCCTTCTTCTTTCCCTCCACTTCACCCTGAAAGAGTGAGACTTACCTTTCCTATCCTTCTGGTAATTCTAATGAAACTTGAAGGCACAGAGAAGCTGAGATTTTCACTGCTGCATGAGGACACAGGCAACTGAGGTCAGAGGCAAGTTCAAAGTCACCCAGGTGCCTTGGGCTGAGCCTCAGGGGGCCCCACTCATGACCTTGGGTGCTTTTTTTCTGTACATGAACAGCACGCCTGTTGACTGGAGCCCAAGTATCTGTGTGCTCCAGAAGAAAGGGAGGGTAGAAATCATGGAACAGGATCCAGACAATTTGGTCCTTGAGCAGTCACGAGACAGTATGTTTACTCTGATCCTCTATTTGGATGCAGACCAGGAAGATGGTGCCTGACTGTCCTTCTGACCTTAGGGTTTTAGTTGTGGAGTGGGGGGTGGAGGGAGAAAAATCCCTATCCTGCCATCTTTTCCCTGTCTCTGCCGCCCCTTCTTTACACCTGACAATTTTCTCTGCCCTTTGCCAGAGAAGCTAGACGTGGTGCCCATCGAGCCTCACACTGTGTTCCTGGGGATCCACGGGGAAAAGCTGTGCCTGGCTTGTGTCAAATCTGGTGATCAGATCAGACTCCAGTTGGAGGTAAGGACCTGCCTTAGATAATGACCACCACTGGGGGCTCAAGACACCATAAATATGTCTCTTTTCACCATGCTATTTCTGGCTAGGGTCAGTCAGACACTTCTGTTCATGTTGTGTAGCTGGGCTCACTTCTGCAGCCATGTTCAGCAGAGCCCTTAGCTGTCTCTCTCCGTGGCCTCTCAGAGTTCACTTGTCAGCTCGAGCTTCCATACAACATGGCTGCTGGCTTCCAAGAGAAATGATTCCAAAAAGAAAAGCCTCAGTGTGCAAATGCTTGCTAAACCTTTACTTTCATCCTACCACTAATGCCCCAGTGGCCAAAGCTGGACTCTTGACTAAGTCTCGCCCCAATGGAAGGGGGCACTACACAGGGTGTGAACCCAGGGTTATTATTCATTTAGGGAGATAAATCACTGCACATTAATCTTTCCCAAAGGCCCCAACCCTCTCCCAGTAATTTCAGGATCTTTCTCTTCTAATCCTTATTTACTCAAACTCATGAGCTGGCATCCCGCTCATGCTTAGTCCTCTCTGAGTGCAATATTAATAGTCTCAGAGGCTTGTTGGACAAACTTTTAACTCAAATTGGAGTGGCCATATCTGTGACACTGTCACTTCCTTCCCCAGAGGATGGGACACTTTTTGGAGGGTGACCGACCTCTGTGGCGTAGGGATGGCAGGATGTTGTGCATCACATCTTGCATAGCTGCAATACTCTGCCCACCATATCCTCTGCCCTTTCCTTGGAGGCACACACCCTGGCAGTGCGCCAGTCTCCATAGGCCTTGGCCTTCACTGATGATATATGGAGTTTGCTAAACATAAGTGCTCATGGTCAGAGTGGCCAGATTTTCCCAACTTTAAAGTGTGGTGACAGGACAGACTCTGTGTTATCACTGTCTTAAGAGATAGGGATCATGGAGGGCCTCCAAGTCAACATTTCTGCAGGATTACTCTGGGCTACTGGTGGCCCACACTCTGGTGTGGGGTGGCAAGGTGGGTAGTACAGGACCTTCCAGCTCTTTAGCTCTTACATGCTTATTTCTTGGCTTTCAGGCAGTTAACATCACTGACCTGAGCAAGGACAAGGAGCAGGACAAGCGCTTCACCTTTATCCGCACAGAAAATGGTCCCACCACCAGCTTTGAGTCAGCTGCCTGTCCCGGATGGTATCTCTGCACTGCCCTGGAGGCTGACCGGCCTGTCAGCCTCACCAACACACCTGAGGAGGCCATCATGGTCACCAAGTTCTACTTCCAGCAGGACTAGTGTACGGCCACATCCCTTCTCCATTCACAGCCCATGGACGACTGTAGAGAGACTACCTTTTCACCTCTGTGCAGGGTCTCCTGCTCTCTCCTGGGCTCTGAGGATCAGCTTTGGTACAGTGGACACTCAGGAGGCAGTACTAGAGCCCTAGAAGAAACAGGACTCTGTCTCCAGCCTTCTCAGTTAACCCCGCCTCCGTGCCATCTCCACAATGGACTTTCTAAAGTGCAGATTGAATTACGGTGCTGCTCAAAACCTCTCACTGCCACCTACACCTTCCAGATAAAATCCAGGCTTCCTGGTCAGCCTGGATGCCCTCTGTTTTCTCATCCCTGACTACTCCCTCACCCCAGGGCCCCTGTGCCAGATCCCTAGGCTACTTGCTGACCTCCTGCCAAGTGACTCCCAGATCTTGGTTTGCAAATGGATGCTGTTCCATGGGGAAGATTTTAAAATCTGTGGCAAACTGTAAAAATAAGGTTTTCATGATATTTTAAAAATTAAGCCAACTTGATTCAATTTGAAGCAGAGTCCTTTATTTGGAGGTTATGTCCTTTCTGGAAGGAATGAGAGAGAAAAATATTGTGTTTGTGAACTGATCATGAAACTAGTTCTCCCTTTTTATTTCTATTTCTGTGGTGCCGAAACCTGTAAAAATTAAAAGTTAGTTATTATGTTGGTCCACTATTTTTTTCTCTCCAAAACATTCCTGTAAGTCTACCCCATCTCTTTCACAGTTGCTGGCAGGTCTCTCCCCAATGGCCTCCCATCAAAAGTTCCCTGGATCCCAAGTCATGGTGCAGATGTGGCCCCAGAGATTTTTCTCCTCTTTTTCAGGGGGATGAGTTGCTCCTTGACTTTTAAAGCACTTCTGACACTCTGAATATCTACTTGTCTCTGTGCCTCTGTCCTTCTGTCTCAGACCCTGATCTCCTGGGAGCCAGCAGCATAAGGGTCTAAGGTCCCTGCAGGGCTGAGCACAGGGCCTGACCTCAGCAGGTGTGTAATGAATGTATGTTGTCTGTGTGAGTGGGAGGTTTCCTCCCACTGTGACTTAAGCTCTGTTTTACAATAAAACTTTAAAAACTCATCTACTTTGTTGGCTGTTACTTATAATAGCCAAGATAATGGAAACAAATTAAGTGTCCATCAGTGGAGGAAAGGATGAAGAATAGTGATATGATCTCTCTCTCTCTCTCTCTCTCTCTCTCTCTCTCTCTTTCTGTCTCTCTCTCTCACATACATCCCACTGTGGAACATTATTCAGCTACAAAAAAGGAGAAACTTCTGCCATTTGTAACATGGCTGCTCCTTGAGGGCATTATGCTAAATGAAATAAGTCATACTCAGAAAGATGAATACTATTTGATGAAACTTATATGTAGAGTCTAAAAAAAATCATAGAATCAGAGAACAGATTGAGGTTGCCTGAGGTGGGGCATGGGAATGGATAAAAGGGTTATAGAGGTCAAAAAGGCGTAATCTTCCACTTATACAATAAATAAATCACGGGGAATAATGCACTGTAGAGTGACTGCAGTAAGTACTATACTGTATATTTGAAAGTTGCTAAGGGAGTAAAAGTAAACTTGAGAGTTCTCATCACAAAAATTATTTGTGACTATGTGGTGATTAATGTTAACTAGAGTTATTGTGGTACTCAATTTTCATTATATACAAATATGAAATAATTATATTGTACACCAGGAACTAAAATACATGTCAATTATATCACAATTTTAAAAACAAAAAGAAAAAAAGTAGGGGGAGGGGAGGAAATTAGACCAGATTTGTGGTTCTCATCTGGCTCATCTGTGGAGATTAAAAAAAATGATTCCAATGTTCAATCCCATCACCTTCACAGGTTGGTTTGGGGGTGGCCTGAGGTGAGGCCAGGGCAACAGCTTGCCAGGGCTCAGAGTCCCAGGACCATATGACCTTGAGGTCAATTACCCCCAAATGCTCCCTCAGAGTGAAGCCTCCTGGAAGTTCTATAAATTCAAAGAAGGGAGCTAGGACTTAACTTTAGAGAAAGGTTCCTTACAACTCAGTCATATATTTTGACTATATTTTAATCTGAGTTGAAGGTAGAAGGTTTTCTACTTTATTAGTCACAAAGTTAGTTGAGACATACTTCAAGTTCATTTTTTATTGACATACATTGTGAGTGATAGTAGTTGTTGAGGCAAAATTCCTGCAACTCTTAGGGAAACCAAATAATTTTGTATTTTCTCTTCATATATAACTATTAAATCTCTAAATCATAGTGGCAAATATCAACATGCTTGGTATTAAACCCAGCTCTCAGAAAAGTCAGGAGAGAGAGTGAAACAAGTTTAGAAGGAAATTGAGCTTTCAAGACTGCCTTGCCTCTTTGTTGCATTATGTGAAAAAGCAGTTCAAGAGATGTCCACCAGGGGTCAGCATTTCCAGCATTTTCCTGAAGCTCATCCTGCATTTCATTGCTGTTCTGGACAAAAAATCAAAGACAAAGAACTATTGATAATTCAGTTCATACTCTCAGGTTGTTGAAGCATCAGTCTTTTAAAGACTTCCTAAGAAAAAACTTGTTTTTTCACTCTAAGGAAGGTTTATTCCCATTTGTCTATAACCAAGCTGTAGTTTAGTACTAGCTTGGGCTATTTATCTCCTAAAGGACATGCGGGGCCTGACCTTAACAACTATTCAACAAATGTTTTCTGTCATCAATATCTGTTCTTTAGAGAACGAGACACAAGAAATTCTAGCCATCTTGTGCTTACTTGAAAGTCCACTTACTGTACTGCTTTTTCCAGCTTTTTCCCACTTGCCTGGATGATTGATTGACATGTGAAACTGACCCCCCCACAGTCACCTTGCTTAGTGCATGTCAACAGGAAAATGCACGCTTTTCACATTGGGTGTGGGTGGACTTCACAAACGTCAAATAAACACAAAAAGGCCAAGATATTCATTCCACTGCGGAATGCGTCTTCGGAGGAACAGCCGTGTCTGCAGCCTCTTCCAGGGAAAGCGAACACCGTGTCAGAGGACGAGGAAAACGTGGCTTGGAGCCTGAACAGAGGAGTAATCTTACAGACCGATGACCTCAAACTGCCGACCTTGTCACTCCACTTCCACCCTAAGGGTCTCCCTTCCCAGGGTGCCAATGTCCATTGTCCTGGCTTTAACGCACATTCTTAGGGGGCCATGATGGTCACTTGGCATTTTTTTTCTGTCCAAGTGTGCACCTTAAGGCATGGACTGTGTTTTGCTTTTATTTTTCCAGCTTCGTTGAGAAATAATTGGCACACCTCACTGTACACATTCACCACGTACAGCACGATGGTGTGGTTTACAGATAGGATGTCTGGCCACCACGGTGGTTCAGCTCATAACCACCTTCTCATAGTCAATAAAAAGAAAAGAAAGAAGATAAGAAAGAAGAAAATAATTTTCCTTGTCATGAGAAATCAGGATTTACTCTCTTAACCTCACCTCTAGCCATCATGTTGGACATTGCACCCCTGGTCCTTATCTTATAACAGGCAGGCAGTTTGCAACTTTTGACCCACCCCCCTCTCCCCAAGTCCCCCTTTCTGCACCCTCTGCCTCGGTCTCTTTTTCAAAATGCAAAGTGCTTTGCATTTTGCAGCCTCCAAAGCCACTTACCTGAAACTGATTAAAATTCATTGCAAACATATTCTGAAGTATATTAATTTCATATGCAATTCCCATCTACTCTTCCCTCTTCCTAGAACACTCTACCCCAGAGATCCCACCCCCTCCTCCATTACCTCTTCTTCATGGAGTCCACTGCACAAATGGCGCCTTATCAGAGAAGTCTTTTTTGACCTCCCTACCTAAAATACCATCCTAGCCCCAAAAGTCTTTTTTCACTTTCTTTTTCCTTCTTGCAATGATTACCTTTTGACATGTTATGTATTTGCTTGTTTGCTTATTTAAATTTATTTCCCTGTGCATTTGAAGCTCCATTAAGGCAGCAACATTTCTGCCTCATCAGTGCCTTATTATTAATTCAACAACCTTCTTTATGGAGATTCGATGTTAGTTCTAGGTGCTGAAGAAAATACGAGATGCTTTCCGTTGAGCTTAGCCAGGAAGCCAGTGGAAACCAGTTCAAATATACAAGTGTCATTGGTAGTAGTTTTGCATGGCTAATTTGCATTTCCAATTTTTGTCTTCTTCTGTGTTTCCTGGGGTGAATTGGGATAATTTCAGCTCCTTCTTCTGGAGTAAATAGGAGCACCCAATCACCCAGTCTCTATGTCCTTATTGCGAGACCTCAAAAATCTCAATAGAGGCACCTATGATTAAATAAACTGTGAAGAGAAAGAAAGCTTTGGATGGTAAATAAAATGAAGGATCACAGCAAAGATAACATGAACGATAATTTAGTACTGCTCAGCAGATGCCACTGTCCTCAACATCCCCTGTCCTCACCACCCACGGGGCAGGACCCCCAAGCCTGGCCTTGTTCAGTTTTATTCTTAGCCCCTCCCTTTCCCTGAAGACCATTCCTCAAGGCTCTCTGGTCACCAGCCCCCACTGTCCGTCTCTGTCTGTCTGTCAGTCTCTCTGGAGCTGTCTTCTGTGAAGGAGCTCACATCTCCCTACCTCCCCTCAGAACAACTAAATCCAGCTGCAGAGTCGAACATAGAACAAAGGCCTGTGGACGCGAGGAAGGAAGAATTATATACATTTATGGTTGATTTTAACATCAAGTTCTTGGACGGAAGTCTACCCCTTTCATTACAGATGAAAGTTTGTGGGTTGTTTTTTTTTTTTTACCTCTTTCTGAGACAGGCAATCAGGAAGATTGGTACTGCAGCAGGCAGAGGGGGTACCCAGAAGCAGAGAGCTGGGGTCCAGACAGGCCCTTCTCGGGTACAGAGGACATAACTAAGAGTCTCTGATTTGAAACCAGAAGGCTCAGGAATTTGGCCCAGCTCCACCACTGAATAGCTGGATGCTTCTGAAAGAACTACTTAGGGTTCCTGAAGTTCACTTAATTCATTTGAAAAACCACGATTGTCACATAATCAGAGATGTTTCTCTTTGGGGTGGTCTTATAACTTTATTTGACATTGGTTAGGTCTCATTCACACTGACCATAGATTTTTGAAAGTGGTGACGGATACATAGAACTCTTTTGATGAGTCTTCACCCTCATTGCATTTTCTGGGCGTGGATACTCCCTTACGCCTTTGGGTCCAGACAGGTTGGTTGAGCCTGGTGCCCATATCTGGAGTGAACCTCTCCTTTGTGCCAAGTTTTTAGCTCTCTTTCAGGCCCCCTCTGTGGATGCGCCTGTGCATGTGGCTGGTGTGTTCCCCAGTCACTACTTTACTGATGGCAGGATGGCCTTTCTACCACCCTTCTTTGCAGAAGCCATTGCCCATACTCACTTTGCTGGGTCCCCTGGGAGTTGTGACAATTAAATAATGCATTTAAAAGTACTCCATAAAAATGTTTAATAATGTTATAATCCAAGTGCTTCCAGAAGTCTCCAGCATGGGGAGGCAAAGAACATCATACCATCTGACAATGCCGTTCCTGATCCAGTTTTCCCTTCAGTCCCTCGACATGAAACCATCCCCGACCTGGGCCACCCAATGACCTCATGTCTGTTAGAACCTTCACCCCAAGACTTCCACCACTTCCTTCCTCTCCTTATTGTCAGTGTCTGTACCCCAGGCAGGGTCACCAGGTAATTCCAGAGCCCTCAGTTCCCAAGGTGCCTAAGTGGGTTCCCAGTATTTGTACCACTAGGAGGCGTTTGTGTACCCTAATAATAGCAAATCCCCAGTGAAAAATTTGGCCTGTGACCATTTGTTTCAAGAAGACACACGTTCCCATGAAGAAGCAACATTTTGCAGGCACGGTGAGGTCTGACCCTTAAAAGAGAAACATGGGAAGGCAGTCCACAAAGATTCAGCCCCTTGTCCTGTCTCAGTGTCCCCAGAACAACTCTCTAAAGTCTTCTCTTTGGAGGATAGGTTTTGCTTTGCAAATGTATAATCAAATGCCCCCATTCTTTGCCCAGACAAAAGGAAACACACCCCAAGTGCCAGAGCAAGG